GTTTGATGTCTAGGATTTAGATTAGTCCCTACCCATTGGTTTGGTGACTTGGTTTTAGATTAGTCAATACCCATTGTTTTGGTGTCTTGGATTTAGATTAGTCTTTAGACATTGGTTTGGTGTCTAGGATTTAGATTAGTCCCTACCCATTGGTTTGGTGTCTAGTTTTTAGATTATTCACTACCCATTGGTTTGGTGTCTAGGATTTAGATTAGTCTCTACCCATTGGTTCGGTGTCTAGGATATAGATTAGTCCCTACCCATTGGTTTGGTGTCTAGGATTTAGATAAGTAACTACCCATGGTTTGGTGTCTAGGATTTAGATAAGTCACTACCCATTGGTTTTGTGTCTAGGATTTAGATTGGTCCCTACACATTGGTTTTGTGTCTAGAAATTAGATTACTCACTACCCATTGATTTGGTGTCTCGGATTTAGATTAGTCACCACCCATTGGTTTTGTGCTTAGGATTTCGATTAGTCACTACCCATTGGTTTGGTGTCTAGGATTTAGATTAGTCTATACCCATTAGTTTGGTGTCTAGGATTTAGATGAGTCACTAACCATTAGTTTGGTGTCTAGGATTTTGATTGTTCCCTACCCATTGGTTTCATGTCTAGGATTTAGATTACTCAGAACCCATTGGTTTAGTGTCTTGGACTTACATAATTCACCACCCATTTTTTTTTTGTCTAGGATTTAGATTAGTCACTACCCATTGGTTTGGTTTCTAGGTTTAGATTAGTCACTACCCATTGGTTTGGTGTCTAAAATTTTGATTAGTCCCTACCCATTGGTTTGGTGTCTAGGATTTAGATTTCTCACTACCCATTGTTTTGGTGTCTAGGATTTAGATTAGTCACTACCCATTGGTTTGGTGTCTAGGATTTAGATTAGTCACTACGTATTGGTTTGGTGACTAGAATTTAGATTATTCACTACCCATTGGTTTGGTGTCTAGGTTTTAGATTAGTCACTAGTCATTGGTTTGGTGTCTTGGATTTAGATTAGTCTTTACCCATTGGTTTGGTGTCTAGGATTTAGATTAGACCCTACCCATTTGTTTGGTGTCTAGTTTTTAGATTTTTCACTACCCATTGGTTTTGTGTCTAGGATTTAGATTAGTCTCTACCCATTGGTTTGGTGTCTAGGATATATATTAGTCCCTACACATTGGTTTGGTGTCTAGGATTTAGATTAGTCACTACGCATTGGTTTGGTGTCTAGAATTTAGATAAGTCACTACCCATGGTTTGGTGTCTAGGATTTAGATAAGTCACTACCCATTGGTTTGGTGTCTAGAATTTAGATTACTCACTACCCATTGATTTGGTGTATCGCATTTAGATTAGTCACTACCCATTGGTTTGGTGTCTAGGATTTAGATTAGTCACTACCCATTAGTTTGGTGTCTAGGATTTAGATGAGTCACTACCCATTGGTTTGGTGTCTAGGATTTAGATTGGTCCCTACCCATTGGTTTTATGTCTAGGATTTAGATTAGTCACTACCCATTGGTTTGGTGTCTAGGATTTAGATTGGTCCCTACCCATTGGTTTGGTGTCTAGGATTTAGATTAGTCACTATCCATTGTTTGGTGTCTAGGATTTAGATTAGTCACTACGCATTGGTTTGGTGTCTAGGATTTAGATTAGTCAGTACCCATTGGTTTGGTGTCTAGGATTTAGATTAGTCACTACCCTTTTGTTTGGTGTCTAGGATTTAGATTAGTCCCTACCCATTGGTTTGGTGTCTAGGATATAGATTAGTCACTACCCATTGGTTTGCTGTGTAGGATTTAGATTAGTCACTACCCATTGGTTTGGTGTCTAGGATTTAGATTAGTCCCTACCCATTGGTTTCGTGTCTAGGATTTAGATTATTCCCTACCCATTGGATTGGTGTCTAGGTTTTAGATTAGTCACTACCCATTGGTTTGGTGTCTAGGATTTACATTAGTCACTACCCATTGGTTTGGTGTCTTGGATTTAGATTAGTCACTACCCATTGGTTTGGTGTCTTGGATTTGGATTCGTAAATACCCATTGATTTGGTGTCTAGGATTTAGATTAGTGCCTACCCATTGGTTTGGTGTCTTGGATTTAGATTAGTCACTACTCTATGGTTTAGTTATCAGATTTAATTTAGTTACAACCCATTTGTTGGAAGGTCAGTATCAGAGAAAATAATGCATTTCAATTAATTACTATTAAATAATTTTGAACCCAATTGTTTGTTGTCCCATTCTTCGATCTGTACATTTGTATCACTATCCATGGGTTTGGTGTCCCTTTCTTTGATCTATACATTTTTATCACTACCCATTGGTTTGCTGTCCCAGTCCACGATCTGTACATTTGTATCACTACCAATTGGTTTGATGTACCATTTTTTGATCTGTACATTTATATCACTACCCATTGGTTTCGTGTCCCGTTCTTTGATGATACATTTGTATCACTACCCATTGGTTTGATGTCCCAGTCTTTGATCTGTACATTCCTATCACTACCTATTTGTTTGTGTCCCAGTCTTAGATCTGTGCATTTGTATCACTACCCATTGGTTTTGTGTCCCGTTCTGTGATCTGTGCATATGTATTCTTACCCATTGGTTTCGTGTATCATTCTTTGATCTGTACATTTACATCACTACTCATTGGTTTGCTGTCCCAGTCTTTGATCTGTACATTTGTATCACTACCCATTAGTTCGGTATACTAGTTTTTGATATGTACATTTGTATCACTAAACATTGGTTTGGTGTCAAAGTCTTTGTTCTGTACATTTGTATCAGTTCCCATTGGTTGGGTGTCCCAGGCTTTGATCTAAACATTTGTATCCAATTTCAGCCAATCACATTCTAATTCTTGGCAAACGTCCAAGTAATTTTACAGCCTACACAGCGCTAAATTCGTCCCAAAATGTGACCTGCCAATCACGAACATTAATCGGGTAATTTAAATCTGATCTAAAGACTACAGCTAACTTTACTTTATGGGAACAGCTTGAACTGGCACTTTATGATAAGCCTCTTACTGGGAGGCACCGCAGCTGTCACCAGAAATCAAGTCATTCAAAGGTGATACTCTGTTGTTTGGCAAGGACTGGGGATGAATGGGTGACGAAAACGATTCTCATATTTGAATTATTGATTTAACCAAAAAACAAAAAAGAAACAAATATTTTAAATTTCAGGAGTCAAGCTATAAAAGACCAAACGATGATACCTAGCCAACAGCGTCTGTTTGACTTTCAAGCATTACGGTTAAAAGTATGTAAGTACACCGTCAATAGTGTAAGAAAAGTCTATGCTCTTCTCTTCAGGCAAGAATTATATTATCGTTATTTTCTTTGAATATTTTTATTTTTTAAAATTTGTTTCTTAAATAGTTAAGTTCTATTCACCACTAGCCAAAAAACTGCAGACAATTAAAATTAAAAACTGAAGCTGAATCCCAATCTCTCCCCCTGAGTCAATCCATCCCTCACTCTCCGTGACACAATCTGGATATTTTCAAAAAGACGTTAAAACGTTTAAAAAAAAAAAAAAAAAAAAAAAAAAAAAAAAAAAAATAAAAAAAAAAAAAAAAAAAAAAAAAAAAAAAAAAAAAAAAAAAACTACAAAAAAATTAATTAAAAAAAGATATTATACTTTCTAATTTCTTGAGAACCTGAATGCAAAAATTGCAATGGAGTTTTACTCAATTGACGAACTATTGTTTTCAAGGCAGATTTTTTTTTTTTTTTTTTTTTT